TGTGTTTTTAACGTAAACTTGTGTGTGAATGAGAACTTAGTTTAGTACTCACATGCTGCGACAGCCGCTTTCTGTGCGTGTGCTTCGGATGTGTGCGCTCAGAAAACCGTATATCAGAAGTAGGGCTGTGCAATATTGAAGAAATATTTGAGATACACGATACCTTGTTAAAAAATGCGATATTTGATATGCGATACGATATTGCTTAAAGTGTGTAAAATCAATTTCAATTATATTTTAAAATATTTCACATCAGAAAACGGGTCACAACTCTGCCATGCGTCAAAGATGCAAAATATCTACTGCTACTCTTCTTCATATGCTCTGAATTAGGGCTGTGCGATATTGAAGAAAAATGCGATATGCGATACCTTGTTAAAAAATGCGATATTTGATATGCGATACGATATTGCTTAAAGTGTGTAAAATCTATTTAAATTATATTTTAAAATATTTAAGAATTAAAATCATATAACCAAGTTGTTTCACATTCTTTCTTGGAAAATAAAGAACCACTACAACTTCTGAAAGGGACCAGCAGTGTTTTAGCATTACATAAAAAGTAATGTCACAAATCAGAAAATGTAATTTAACATCAATGTGAATATTATATTTTATAACATTACTCATAATATATTGTGACACTGACATACACACACAGACATGTTTAAAATAATTGACATTTTTAATTGAAATAATCCTAAATAAGTACAATAAAATTAATAATATACAAAATTAAAATTATATAGAATTATACCGCCTGTTTATATATATATATATTTAGTTATACTGTATACAATAAAAAATAAAATAGATATAAATAAAAAATAAAATGAATAAATATTTATAAATTGTTACTTAAAATATAAAAAAATATATGAAAAATAAACTAATAAAATAAATACGTTTCAGAATACATACAACACTAATAAATAAAATGTATAGATAATATAAAAACATTTATAAATACTAAGCACATTGATAAATAAATGATCAAAAAAATTTTTTTTTATTTGTTGAACATCTTTAATATAACTGAACATATTAATAAAAATCGTAAAAGTACTTATTAAAACTACACTAGAAGCTGAATTAACCAGACGCACACCAAATATGCCTAGCACACATTTACACAGACTAACCACTTAAAAACAGCTCAGACTGAATGCAAGCGGCCCCTAACGCTCCTGACGGGGCCCCTTCACAATCACCCACTGCGGGATAGTGTTCGGATGGAAATAAAGGACAGAACGAAAGCGTCCCGTGTGTTTAACAGCTCACTGATTATGAAGAGCTGCTCGTGTTTCTCAGGGGCCGAGAGCGGTGTGTGCGTCCCAATAAACGCTGCTTCCATAAATGGGCTTTTAAAGGCTCGGAGCAATTCAACGGGAATGGTCTTAATCGTCAGTGTGCTGTGCTTCAGTGGAGAGTGCACTGAACGACACGCAACACTCGCTCTGTGAGGAGCGACCCATTCAGATGTGACCCTGACGCCAATCCATCCTCACGGGCCACACAGACCGAGTTCACACACATTACCACATTTCACATCAGAAAACGGGTCACAACTCTGCCATGCGTCAAAGATGCAAAATATCTACTGCTACTCTTCTTCATATGCTCTGAATTAGGGCTGTGCGATATTGAAGAAAAATGCGATATGCGATACCTTGTTAAAAAATGCGATATTTGATATGCGATACGATATTGCTTAAAGTGTGTAAAATCTATTTAAATTATATTTTAAAATATTTAAGAATTAAAATCATATAACCAAGTTGTTTCACATTCTTTCTTGGAAAATAAAGAACCACTACAACTTCTGAAAGGGACCAGCAGTGTTTTAGCATTACATAAAAAGTAATGTCACAAATCAGAAAATGTTATTTTAACATCAGTGTGAACATACAAACAAAAAAAAATTAATGACACTAATTTTATATCATTGTAACTTTGCTTTCCACACACTTTAAGTAGTACTTCATATACCACAGCAAACACTATAGTCTGAGAAAGTTCAAACATGATTAAAGGCAAGTGGACAGTCAGTAAACAAAAAAAAAAAGAAATACACAATTTACAAGCATAGATAATATAAACCGTAGTATTCATTAGGGCTGTGCGATTTGGGGGAAAATATCAAATTGCAATTTTTTTTGACAGATATTGCGATTGTGATTTTAAATTTGCAAAGTCACGCTTCAGCTCAATATTGCCAATAATGTGCAGCACAGTATGGGTATCAGTACCCTGCTGAAAAAAACAATAGAAACCATCACAGAAATTCTTAGTTTCCATTAAACCATTACAAAATTCCTTTTTGTTTTGGGCATTATTCCAATAGGAATTACTGTTGTTCTATTGGTTGCCATCTGCCAGATTACATCCCACCAATAGAATCCATCAAATAGACACCATTATAGTTTACATTAAAACCAATACAATTCCCATTATAACCCTGAAATCCATTACATTTGTTATTGTGTTTTGGGAGGGGTTCTATTGTTTTTTTCTTCAGCAGGCAAGATTATAATGGTATAACTACTTTTACAGAATTAACTTAATTAAATTGTTTCTGCTTCCACTCAAAACAGGCATTTTCAAAATGATATAATAAATGATCTGTGGAGTATTTTGAGCTGAAACTTCACAGACACATTCTGGGGACACCAGAGACTTCGATTACATATTGTAAAAAGGGGCATGATATGTCTCCTTTAAGAATTTGTTTCTTGAGAATATATCCGTCAGAGCCTGAAGCGTCTCTGCTGACAGACAGACAGCAAGGGTTCGCTCACACTAAATCAAACGCTCCCGTGATGCTGGATGCAGACAGACCTTAGTGATGCGCTTGTATGTCTCTGTTTGGCTGGCGGTCTCGAACGGAGGGTTTCCCACCAGACACTCGTAGCACAGCACACCGATGCACCACAGATCCACCTTCTCATCGTGAGTGTGACCCTCGATCATCTCCGGCGGCAGATAGTCCAGAGTCCCACACATGGTCCTCCGTCTGACACACACACACACACACACACACACGCTTAAAGCAGAATAACTGAAGATATTAAGTCTAGTTTTCTGAAAAATGTGGAGTTTATTTCACTGTCATTTTGTGGTTTTAGTGTTGTGTTTTATGTTTGACACGGTTTTATTATGCGTTTACTTATTGTACAGCACTTTGGTCAATGGTCGGTTGTGTGAAAGTGCTCAAATAAATAAAGAAAAGAAAAAGGAAAGAAAAGAAAAGAAGAGAAAAGAAAAATGCTTAAAACATAAATATCTGCCAGTGGGGTCAGAAAAAAACTACTTTGAATCGAGATTTTTCTGACCCCAAGTTTTTCAAAGAAACACTTAATATAAGTGATTTTGCATCTCAAGTAAAGGCATCTTAATCAGTAATGTGATGGCATACGTTTTCATATGTGAGCCTGGAGCACAAAAGCAGTGTTAAGTCGCTGGGGTATATTTGTAGCAATAGCCAACAATACATTGTATGGGTCAAAATTATAGATTTTTCTTTTATGCCAAAAATCATTAGGATATTAAGTAAAGATCATGTTCCATGAAGATATTTTGTAAATGTCCTACCGTAAATATATCAGAACTTAATTTTTGATTAGTAATATGCATTGCTAAGAACTTCATTTGGACAACTTTAAAGATGATTTTCTCAATATTTAGATTTTTTTGCACCCTCAGATTCCAGATTTTCAAATAGTTGTATCTCAGCCAAATATTGTCCTATCCTAACAAACCATACATCAATGAAAAGCTCATTATTATTATTATTATTCAGCTTTCAGATGATGTATAAATCTCAATTTCGAAAAATTGACCATTATGACTGGTTTTGTGCTCCAGGGTCACAAATGAAAATTGCCGAAGTTTGGTATACGGTATTGAACGACATTACAAAAACATAAGCATTGTCCTCAAGTTTAATACTTTTTAAAAAAATAAAAAATAAATACACAAAGTAGACAAAAGTTTCAGAGTTATTTTAGCACAATTCAGATAGTGAATTTTCTGTTTTTTTTTTTTTTAAATTTTAGTTAGTTTTAGTAATTTTGTTGTGCCATTTAAATTAGTTTTTGATGTCTATATAGTTATTAATTTTTATTTCAGTTTTAATTATGTTAGTACATCAAGTTAAACTAAATTAAACTGAGAAGTGTTGCCTTGGCAACTAGCTGAAATAAACTATTTTATTTGTTTATTCAATTCAAGTTTATTTGTATAGCACTTTTCACGATATAAATCATTGCGAAGCAGCTTCACAGGAAATTAAGTTTCTACAATATTTAGTAGTAGCTTATCAGTGGTGACTGTCAGATTGATGTACATATGGCAGAAATGTATGGTAAAATTCAGTTAATGACGAAATCAAACACTATTAACGGCAATGATTATATGATGCAATCAAACTTGTAGCAAAACTTGGTAGTTTATATTTCTATTAAGCAACTTATTTTTTTTTAATTGTTTGAGTTAACTATAACCCTGGTTTACTAAACAGATCAACTTAACCGTTGATGGAAAGGAAGCTCATGTTCATTCTAAAGACTTGGAAACTAGAATTATTCGTTCTGAAGTGCCTGTGAGGATAATCCCATGCATGTTCAAGTCCAATATTGATTTGTGAAAGTTTAGATGTTTGTCCTGGTGCATTATGGGTGTTTGTTACCTGAGAGACGGTGCGTGGACAGACCAGCCGAAGTCTGCGATCTTGAGCTCTCCTCTGAAACCCAGCAGAAGGTTTTCAGGTTTGATGTCTCTGTGGATCACCTTCTTCTCGTGGCAGTACTGAAGAGCGTCAGCCAGCTCCTCCATGTACTGCAAACACAACATCAGCAGACAGTTGAGCTGCCAGGACCTTGCTCGCTAATCCAAGCGCTCCAAAGTTTGGCTACATTTGCGATCAGAAGCCAAAAAAGCTAAGTATAATATCTGTGATAGTTAAACATGTTGCAAGAGAGGTGTCACCACCAACATGACAAAGCACTTTAATTGAATAGATCGTTAAAGATCGCGAACACGATTCAAACACCAACATGATTCTATTCCTAGATTACAATGATTCGTCTGTTTCATTCCTCAAGCTTTGACGTGTGCGATTAGTGTTGTGATCACGTGGTTCATCCGTGCAGAGTACGGTCACATCAGTGTGATTTAAACATTTAAATCTGCGTTTGCTCAGCGCTGACCTAAAGAGAGCAGCTGTCTGTCATGAATGAAACAGCTTCACAGTCTTTTCAGCCACACGGTATCATTATTTCTGTGTTACAAACACTCAAATCACAGAAGTACTGGGATAAAAGTTTATATTCAGATATAAACTGTGTACGATGTGTGTGGTAGCGATTAAAATAGAGTAAATCACCTTTTGAAAGTAATGTGACACTTCAAATGAAGATTTATTGATTACATTGTTACGCCAGTAGGTGGCGAACAGGAGCTGTTAAAATGTATTTGTCTTTGAATCATACAAGAGATTCGTTAAAGAACGCTGATTCATCCAGTAATGAAACAAGTACATCTTGAGTGAGTCATTTAATTATTGATAAATTACATGTGATTTTGTTTAGTTGTCTAAATGTTTTTTCTTCAGAATCATGAGAGAACCGCAACTTCCATTGGGGGAAAAAAAAAAGAGAAGAAAAAAAACTTCACATTTATCCAGAATCATGCAGCTCTTTTGCACACAAACAGCTCTTAAAGAGTCCAGCTTTTATGTAGCCTGTTGATTTTTGTTCATGGTATGCAGCTCCAATAAATGGTTTGCAAAAAAGAGACACAGAATAAATGTTTGATATTAGGGCTGGGCAAAAAAATCGATTTTTCGATATATCGTTTTTAAAAATGTGGTCAATTCAATATCGATTCTCAAAGGCCACGAATCGATTTTATTTCAATATTTATTTCCGCAAACATTGAACATAAGATTTACGTTAATCTTATTACTAGTCTAATCCACTAGATGTCACCCCCTTATTTGCCTTGCGCAATGTTACAACGGAGAGTCCGTCATTCATTCATTGCTTAAAATGGCGGATTCAGGTGCGTTACCGACGTCCACGCTCTTAATTTCCTTTTATGAATTAACCATTTGTAATCTTATGTTCACTGTTCATTTTTTATAAATATAGGATTTGTGCACGAGTGAGCCTGAGCGTGTGCGAGTGGGCGTGTGCCTGAGCGCGTGTGCGAGTGAGAGCGTGAGCCTGAGCGCGTGAGCCTGAGCGCGTGTGCGAGTGAGAGCGTGAGCCTGAGCGCGTGTGCCTGAGTGCGTGTGCGAGTGAGAGCGTGAGCG